GTTTGAACTACAAGAGATTGCCCATATGAAAAGTGGGCAAGTTGAATAAAAAGAACCCCTTCATTGGAAATCATAAGTAATAGCCGTTGGGTTTGTAACAGCAGGTCTGTGCCTTTGATGTAGAAAGATAACGGTTGATTTCTGGGAAGTTCGACACAACTTTGTTTACTTCATCGTCCGAATGAAAATGTAATGTCACAGGATGACAAATCGGGACTGTACGATGGGGGTTCCAACTCTTCCCAGAGAAAGTTTTGGGTTGTCTGGGTTTCGTGGGAGACATTTGAATGGAAATTGTCATAGAGATCCAGTATCGTTTGGTCTCTTCACGGAAACTTTTACACTAATTATTCATTGCCGTTTGACTTAAACGGTGATTTCTGGTCTTTCAATGCTAATATTCACTTATTAGCTGCCCGTATTAAGCTCACTTTCCCCCATCAAAAACCGTATTAAAGTATTTTGTTCTGAGTAAGTGAGCGCTATATTAACGTCGCACTATAAGGCAACACGAGAGTTATTAACAATGGATCTCGTAATTTTGAACCACGGGCAAGTGATGAGGACGACACTTGAGCTGACTCCCTCCCCTCTTCTTCGAACTTCCACTCGCCAACAGAACTTTGAGTTCTTGGTAGACCTAACGTGTTTTAGCCCCCTCTACACTACGGGTCTTCAGTGGTATTAGAGCTGAAACTCATGAACACACTGGCCACGAGTCCAAGACCATGACCAATAGGCTACCGCGCCACATACGTTGTAACATTTGGGGAAATTAATGGTAGTGTGAGCGGTAAGTTTTAAATAGTTGATTTATTTACGTTACAACTATTAATTACAGTACTACAGTTATCAATACCATAGATTATTTCATTAGTTTAGAATATGTTGTATGTGAGGGAGGAGGCAACACAACCGTTCTCTTTGGTGTTTTCAATGGATTGTCCATACACTCTGTTGAGGTTGGAGGATTAGTTTCTGACACCTCGAATTGTCCCTTTATCTACCGACGGTATTTATAAGTACCACTCACTTTAAATTTACATAGAATAACCATTTTTGCGAATATTCTGACGATATTTAGCAGGAATATTGTTTGAAATACACTCTTCCAAGATATATGGCAGTACGGGTTCTATGATGAGTAATTAAGCGGGAAAGTCGAACAGTTTTATAGGAGAAATTGTGTTTTCAGCTGACAGCGTTTTCAGCGGATTGCGAGGATTATCATTTTTGTCCCGAAAAAATAGTTAATGTCGAAATTTAAGTGTCTTATTGTTTTTGTATGCAAATTAAGACCTTAGAAAACGATTTAACTCTTTATTTTAAGTGAACAGTGTATATAATTAACTTTACAGTCGAATTTCTTTAATTAATTAGCTCTAACGGATTAAATTTCCGAAAGTTGAGTATTTTGTTTATGTATATCCCTTAATTTTCAATGTAGTGATCCAAAAGAAAAAAATATTACGTGAAAAAACTGCAGTAAATCATAGTGCGGTAGATAAAGGGCTCAGGATTCCGGCTCGCACGTTTGAAATCCAGCCTTTGTGTTTCTCATGGTCACTGGTTAATGGGATGATGTTAAATGAAAAGACCCCGAAATATTTAGGGGTGCACGTGGGGATGTGAACTGTGTCATGCTGTCTGTGTAAGAAAACCAATTCTTCAGCTGTCGGGGCGAAAACGTTACAACGTTATTCTGATCTGGACAGATCCATTATCGCTTGACTTCGCTTTCTCTGGAGTAAAACAAGCTTCACTGTTGAGCGCTGTATGTGGTGTCTACTTCCTAGCGTCCTTTGCATCCCTGTCCGCTGACGCTACTATAGCTGCAGTCATTCTTGTACAATCACACATGTCCTTTTTTTTGCTTTGGGCAACCCCCATATTTATAAACAAATACTTCATAAATCCAAATTTCTTGTTAATATTGAATTTACCTTACCATAATTTATTTCCGAAAAATTTCTCAGTCAAATATAAAAACATAAATGCAATTCCTTTCAGTAATAAAATTACTAAGTATTGCTTTTCCATATCATGGCAACACTTCAACGGCAATTCTCTGGAATGACTAATGAGAATGATTCGTCTTAATCATCCTTATCACCATGTAAATGCAAACCGGAAACGAATGACAGGCTACATTTGCATATTTAATTAACGGAAGTGAATAATCTTTAAGGCGCGTGTGCATATTGTGTTTCCAAATACAAAGAAAGAAATCTCTCATCTGGTGTCGTTCTGGAGGTACGTACTTAACAATGAATGGGCACATAAGGCGTTCATTGCACACAATGAAATGCTCTAATGGAATTCGTTATCAACAGTAGCCCTTGTAAACGGTTGCCACAGAATCAGTAATAAGAGTTGTAGAAAAGGGCATGCATTCGATAATAGTTCAAGGAATTTCAATGTTTATACAAGTTTGTTCGTGGTGAATAATGGTTATCGGTTTTCTATTGTTAGGATTCTGTGCCGATAGTTATTTGCTCAAAAGTAATTCTTGGAGTGCTGTTTTTGTTTAGCTTAATTAATTGGATTAGTAATTGCGAGTAGCATGAGTGTTATTGTTAGGATTTATATATAATGCAGTGTTGTTTTTGAAGACAAAGATACAGTGAAAGTCGCTTACAACGAAATTGAAGGAACTGAAATATTTTTTTTCGTTTTAAAATAATTTCGTGTTAAAGGATATTGCAACAAAATTAAGTTTCTTAGAGTTTATTTTTTCAGACGGATATGTATGTATGCATGCATTTAATGAAAATCATTGAAACAAAACATTCACAAGAACTTAAAGAAATTTAATACAAAATTTTGAAAAACAAAGCATTTATTGAATTTTTGGAAAATAATTTGATATTTTCTTTGAATTATTTTTAGCATCAATTTGTCAACAAATTGTTGGATGTCATCCATTTTTGTTATTCATTTTCACCATTAGAGTGTGCGTATCAATAACTGCGCATACTTTTCATGATGTTCCTTATGATGTTTAAACAGGAGCTTCATTATTCATTTCATTTTCATCGTCGTAATCTACAATGACATTTTTTTAGCTCTTTAAACAAAACCCGAAATGTCTTTTTCTGCCATAGTTGGGGCTCCACATGCATTATTCATCATCCTGCACTGAATTCTTCCGATAATAAAATAGGATAGTTTAATTCGGCTGGTGTTTTCCGTATTTTGTTCATTCCCAGTAGGGAAATCTTTTCGAGTTAAGCGATTTTCGTTTCGTGTTAAGAGAAGAAAATGAATGAAAGTACATAGTTTGTCGAGACCGTTTTATTATTTCGTGTTAACCAATATTTCCCCTTAAGCGTTTTCGCGTTAAATGTATTTCACTGTATTTGCATTTTGTTAGGGAAGAATAACATTTTTTTCCGAAATAATTTAGATTGATTATAATTAATTAATCTAAATTATTTTGAATTTGAATAACATTGCAAACAACACGAGGGCTTTCGGTGATGCCCTCGTAATTTTGCTCGGAGGTCAAGTGAAAAGAAAGCCAACTGATCTGGCATTTACATCTCCAAACTTCCACGCTATGCCAACGTGAGGACTTTCAACGTCTACAGATTAACCGTGTATCAGCCAGTTTTGAGTGAGCATTTGTTAGTGTCAAACTATAAGGCAACACGAGGGGTATTGACAAGGGATCTCGTAATTTTGAACCCCCTTAAGTAAAGAAGATGGAACCTGAGGTGGAACTTCGCTTTCCAAACTATTACATCCGGCCAACAGGAGGTTTTTGGTCCATGACAGATTTCAAGTGCATCCTCTACACTGTTGTTCTCTAGTGCCACTAGGGCTCAAAGGCATAACACACCAGCCACGAGCTTGGGAACATGGCTACGAAGCTACCGCGGCCGCAGCCTCTATAGATAGTTGGGGTTTTAGCGTCATAAGGATTTGGTGAACTCACGACTCAACGGAAACCTCTTCAGCAACGAATTCGTGACCATGACCACACGGCTATCTTTACTCTTCTAAATAATTTAGAAAAACGTATTTAACTTTTCGCACTAAGGGTTTAAAGTATGTTTCAATCCCTACTATTAGTTCACACTATATATATATAAAAATGGATGTTTGTATGTATGACCTCGCTTCACTCCAACACCGTACAACCAATAACTATGAAAATTAGCATGTATATGTATATTTTTTTGGAGAAGAGTTTTGTGCTATCTCCTTTGTTGCAGCTCCACACCAGGTGGCGCTACAGCATATCAACTTCTGCACCGTTCAATCAATTACCAAGTTGCCAACGTGACTCTCGCCAACGTTTCGCTATATTTCAATTGAATCGCCATTATAACTTAAGGAGCGGCGTTGCTTGCGAATATTGCAATTTTAACATAAAATAAATACAACAGAAAGGAATATTAACGCATTACACTTCCAGATATATATAAACTATTTACGCTATTTTAAGTGTTCATTACACAAACTTTGTAACAATGTGCTACTTTTGCTGAGCACAGATCGTCTTGAGAAGATCGACCACAAGAGAGTTACGGGGAGATATAAATAAAAAAAAAATCCTTTTTATCAGCTATTAGATCTACAGATTTAAAATTTAACAAATGTGTTCTTTTTTTGTTCAGCTGAAATATGCAAAAAAATTTTATTAAAGTTCTTTCTTTTTTGTTTAATTTGCAATTCACGTAAAATTAACTCATTAAAAACTACTTTGTCCTTCAATCTGTATTGTATAATTTTTCAATTCACCTGTGCGAAAAACGTGTATACCAGCTAGTTTATGTATAAATATATCTTGTTCAATTTTTCAATCATTAATAAAATACTTTTCATTCATCCACTCAAGTTTAAATATATTTTTTTAAATCTGTAGTGGATGACACTTGATGTTAATGCAGAATTTTCAAATATCAATTCATTAATTAACTTTAATTAATGAATAAATGGTAACAAACAAAAAGAGTAGTCCAACACCATATATAAAACGGAAAATCGCTCGTTGTGTCTTTGTAGCGCAATGGATAGCTTGTGAACTTTAATCCAAATGGACTGGACTTTTAATCCAAAGGTCGTGGGTTCAAATCCCACCTGGGATGGCCTAACATCTGAGAATATTTCTTTTTACTTTACTGCTTTAATAGAATAATTAAATTTAATTAATGAATAAATAGTAACAAACAAAAATAATAGTCCAACACAATATATAAAAAGGAAAATCACTTGTGTTCATGTAGCGCAATGGATTTGCACTACATGTGTTATCTGTACAACGGTATCGTATTTCTCAAGATTGCTGGAAATGCCTCTAGCTTTTCCGTACATTTATATGTAGTATAATGTGATATTAGGGTCATTTTGAAATTTTTGAGATACATCTAGGTTTTTGAAGTTATATTTACAAGCTTTTACGAATGTTCTAAGTAATCTCCTCCTGTATCAATGCACTTTTGTAGACGAATTATAAACATATTAAATACCTCAAACCATTCATTTCTTGGAATTGTTAAAAAAATACATTTATAGCCACATCAATCTCTTTTGAATGAAAACGACATTCACACGTAAATTCTTCTATAGATTAAAAAATAACCAAAAGTCACTCATAGCTAGATCAGGAGAATAAATTGAATGCTCTATAACTTTAATTTGTTTTTGCTTAAGAAACTCAAATGTGTGTTAATCCGGCTGTACGAGAAGATGCATTGTCATGGTGAAAAGAGAGAGAGCATTAGTTACCTAACATTGATTTCTTGGGGAATTTTTGAAAAACATTTTGTGGTATACCAGTTTGATGTTACTGTCTTCTGTCCTTCCATATTCATGGCTTTGACCAATCCCGTACTTTTGAAGAAAACGGCGTACATTACTTTTTTCATTGCTCGTTGTTTTTTCACCACTGTCAGCTTGGGATCTTCAAAGACCCATATTTTACTTTCTTGACGTGCTGGAACATCAAAAAACGGTATGTAAGTTTCATAACTCGTTGCCATTTTAGAAATTATGCGGTGAACCATCATTTAGCAATTTAAGACAGTGTTTCTTAAACTGTGGGCTGCGCCCCCCTGGGGGGGGGGCGCGAGCATATCGAAAATAAAAAATTTTCAAAAAAATATTTACTGGAATGAAGTAAAACAAAATACTTTCTGACATAATAAAAAATACACATTTACATTGATATAATTTATATATATCATCTGCGATATTACGTCATCAAAAATAAAAGCTTCTACTTCAAAACCTCATTGGCTATCTTTGATACTATAACTAAATAAAAAACATTTTATTTGATTTGCTATAATCCCATGATGAGAGATTTTTTATTACGTTTTCTTTTCAAACCTAAAATACAACTCTTTCAGAGAAAAAACAAAACCCAGACCTATAATCAAAAATTTTTTAGGGAGATAAAAAATTCATCACTGTTATATTACTGAAATATTGTACATTAGCTCTAGGCAGCAGAATGTATTTTCTGCGGTTTGACCTTCGAACTTACTTGTACGGTTAGTTACGTCTCTGCTCTTATGTACTATTGGTTTTTCATTTAGGAAAGTTGTAAATAAACTATTTCTGCAGCGCTTTTTTCCTTGTAAAATATTTTTATGGTTTTTGGAAAAGCACAGAGAGCACTTTGAAGGATTACTTGGCCAAGATTTTCCCAAACATATAAGGATAATGAAAAACGTTTTACACAATTTTTTTAGAACAGCCATATTGTATTAAATACACTTTTAATCCGGGAGTGGTCATGCCGAGCACAGAGTGCACGAAATCGGTAATTCTGACAAAACTGTTTAATTGTTACCAATGGCCCTGACACTATCCTCCTGTTTGATAGTCTTAACGTGAATTAAAATATATTTGTCACATATCTCCCTCTTTTTTGGGAGTGACAAACGTTTTTTTTGCAATTTTAAGGTACTTGTTTTGACTGAGTTCCCGGTGTGATCACTTTTTTTCCAAAATATTATCTGTTTTCTCTCCCCCCCCCCCCCTATGAATAACTTAGTGACTTTGATTGCCTTGTTGTACGACTTATTGTGGTTTGGTAAATGATCAGAATATATATATATATATATATATATATATATATATATATATATATAAATAAAGAAATGGGTATCTTTGATCTCTATTAAAAGAAGTTAAAACTGATTAAAAAAAAGGGATGAACCTACTGAAATAATGCATATTAAAGTAAATTCGGGAAAAGCGATGAACATGAAACAGAAGAAAAATTTTCAAATGCTACCAAAAGAACTCCATCTACTAAAATATGAAGGGGGCCAAAAAAGGTAATTCTTTCCAACCAAATCCAGTTGTGAAGCGTGATTATGCAAATTAAGAACTTTTTAAATAGCAGAAGTTTGGCTTAAGCAGCGTGGCCTTTTGGGAAGGGATTATGCTAGTCTGTGTTTAAGCGCGTAAACTAAAGAAAGTGAAGTTAGCCGAATTTCAGGAGTTCAGTTATTCTTGCCAGTGCGTTCAAGTCAAGTTGGATACCATTCAACGCTAGATAAAGAAAAGTCATTTAGGATCCGAGATAGTTGCTGCTACTCAAGATATAGAGGTAGAGGATCGTTCTATTAACTACTAGGAACTGTGTATATACAGAAGTTAGGAGTAAGCGGTAAAGTAAAATATAGTGGTCAGGATCGCGCTTATTTGGTAATACGTATTGTGTGTTTCTTCACCTCAGATCCTCTAAGTTAAAATATAAATATTATCATTGTATAGTGTTTAAGTTAAGATCTTAATAAAGAGATATTAAGATTATGGCAACGCCTGGTTCTTCATTCACTCCCACATCTCTAGGTCACGAGGAAAACGTAGAAGTAAGGCATCACCCACGGGCTAATGCCTTACAAGCATCTTGGCTCGGTGTATCATTAGTGATGTCTGGACTCGATGTTGACTAGAAGCTCGCAACAATAAGCACCTAATTATTCTCAGAAGTTACAAGCAAACGTTTTCAATGTTAAATTCACATTGAATGTACTCTCGAAACTATTCTTAAAATCATTTTTTCTGACCGTTTTACTTGCATGTCCCTAAGAATTGAGCTCTTAAGGTTATACGAATCACAAATTGAAAAATATGGCTTTTGAACTTTGGAGTAGCAACGTTCTATAGATCACCGTAGATTCATGCTAACAAACAAAATCTTTTTTCTTTTTTTTTATATAAGTATGGCTATATTTCCAAGTAAAACTTTAGAGTGTACATAAATTAAACTCTTCCTTTCTAGAAATATATATTTCAAATAAAAGGCAAGATTTCGTATGAAATATATACTTTATGTTGTCATAGAGCCACAAAGGATATATTTACATATTTCCAAAATAGCGTTCCAAGAAATGAAAAATAATACATTTTCTATTTGTTCTTTTTATATTATTTTGGGGAATTTCCATCGAAATATGGAATACAGGTTATATATATATACAAATATATAAGTTTCATACAAAAACAAATCTACGCTTTTTCATGTTAAGTCGAACATAACTAAGATTTTATTTTATAATATTGCGTTTAAGTGGAGAGAATATTATACGATAGAGCTGTCAAAGTAAGGTGACCAGTTTTTTTTTAAATGTAAAGGACAAATCATTTAAGAAAATGTTACAACTTAAATATATGAAACATTTTATTAATTCAATCAAAAATAAGCTAATTACGCTTACATCCCTTTTAATTATTTACATAAACGAGTATTTTCTCATTGAATGAATTTTTCTGTTTATCAATATATTATTTTCTAATACATCGGAAATTTCGGAGAAGAAAAATATCCTTCATCTTAACTGTAAGTACTAGAAGCTAAAATATCAATATATATATATATTCAGTCTTTATTTCTCAAGATCAACTGAAGAGATTCTTTCAACTGATGTATTAGTTCTAGGGCAGCACAACGTAAATTCAAAAATAATAACTAAATTTTCATATGGAATGCGTTCATTTTTGAAATGGTTAAGTATTTCAACCCATCTTTTATCAATTTCATCTTGTTGATCTTCCAATTTATTATAATTTAAATATGCATTCAGTCTTCCAATTTCTTCAAACAGGCCATTGTCAACAATTTTAATATCAGGCATTTCTTTTGATAAACAAATCACCACAGTTTTTTTATATCTGCCCAATGTACTTGCGCGATGAAATAAAAAAACACCATTGAAAACTGTTATTTCCTGTGATATTTGTTTCAGACTATTCTTCGACAAATTGGAAACATGCTTGGTTCATCTCTGAATACAGAGATTAGAATATCAGTTTTAAAATATTGAAAAGGAGGGCAAGTAGGAGGACAATGTTCAAGGAAGGACAGGACCTATAAAAGGAGGACTGTCCTCCCTAAAGAAGGACGGTTGGTCACCTTAATCAAAGTCGCAGGTGCAAGTTAAAGGTGCGACACCCCCTCTCCTCTTTTTTTGGGAAAAAATTGATTTTTATTCTGTTTTAGCCACCTAAAACTAGGAACTATACTTAAAGAAAAAACAATTTACATAAACCCTGTCGGCATACCTCCTAATTATCTTTCGTTTGCTTAGAAATCCATTTAAATAAAATATGCAAAAATGTCATACAAAGAAGCTGGTTTATTATATTTACATCGTAATTAACCGAGTAAGTGAGTGAATATTAACGTCTCATTGTGAAGCAACACGGGGATTAAAGGGGACGGACCTCGTAATTTTAAACAGACTGAGCCTCGACAGATTTAGATAGCATTAGCTTCTCTACACGGTGGGTCTTCAGTGAGAGAAAACCCTAACTTATAACATGCCATCAGAAAAATTCCTGAAATTTGGTCTCCCAAAAGTTTAAATAAAAGTTCAAATCATCCCAGTTTTGAGCTCTATACGATTCATGACGTCAAGTGTCTCTCTTAATTTATCTCCCGACTTCACACAAATTACATATATTTTTAACATATTCTTTTGACAAAATTTCGAGTTTGTAACCACTCTTGCTGTAACTGTAACTGACTGCCCCAAGCAGTAGAAGCGCTCTCTAGTGACCACTCATGTTTAGTAGAGGCCAGGTGAGGAGAGAATGTGGTCGATATGAAAAACCGTCCATGCTCTTGGCC